GCTGAGACTTGTATTGCATGCAATAAAGTTGTCATAACTTGTTTCCCAATCCCTCATCCCCACAATTGGACACTTCTGTTATTATATTAAAACAACATAGGATTTGGACATATTCTTGAGAGATCTCCCTTTTTAACTTCACGCTATCATGCTGATGGACAACGAACACACAAGTTTAGAAGCAAATGGGGAAGTTCTAATGTAAACTCTGCCTCTATATAGATTGTTGTTAGTTGCAAAGTTGTGTTCGACCCTTCGTGACCCCATGGACAACGTTCCTCCAGGCCTTCCTGTCCTCTACCATCCTCTGGAGTCCATTTAAGATCACGCCGACTGCTTCAGTGACTCCATCCAGCCACCTCGTTCTCTGCCGTCCCCTTCTTCTTTTACCTTCAATCTAAGAAGAGCCCTTCCTTCTTATTAGGTGGCCAAAGTATTTGAGTTTCATCTTCAGGATCTGGCCTTCTAAAGAGCAGTCAGGGTTGATCTCCTTTGGACTGATGGTTTGATAGCCTTGCAGTCCAAGGGACTCGCAGGAGTCATCTCCAGCACCATAGTTCAAAGGCCTCAATTCTTTGGCACGCAGCCATAGATAGATAGATAGATAGATAGATAGATAGATAGATAGATAGATAGACAGACAGATAGACAGACAGATAGAGATGGATGGATGGATGGATGGATGGATGGATGGCTAGACCGACCTGCATAGACCTCAATAAACCCACTTTTTCCAGCAAGCCAGGCTGGCTTAAGAAGAAATTTTAATTGTTTTAATTGGTTTGTATTTTTAATTTTGGGCCAAATTTATATATATATATATATATTAATTGTTTTTTAATATTTGTATTTCATGTTTTTTAATTCTGGCTGTACACCGCCCTGAGTCCTCAGGGAGAAGGGCGGTATATAAATTTAAAAATAAATAAATAAATAAATATTTCAAAGTTTACCACTGACTCCCCCAAAAGTTACTTGATCTGTCATTGAAGTTATGACTGCCGTATCCTCTCCCTATGTCACATTTTGGGTGCTTGGCAAATGGCTCGAATTTATGATTGGTTACAGCTTCCCAAAGTCATGATGGTTTGCAACATTTTTTGCTGATTTATAGAGCTCTTGTCAGTTTCTGCAACAACCACCCATTCGGGAGAATCGATTTGCTTAATGACCAGGTGATTTGCTTAACAACCATGTAACTCACTTCTGATAATCATAAAAATGGTCATAAAATCAAGTCAGGTCATGTGGTGACCCACTTAATGACTGCAATGACTTATTACCAAAATTGCAGGCTCAGTTGTGGTTGCTAAGTGAGGTGTGACTCTGGTTTCCATTATGTCCTAATAGGCAGGGAGCTTTTACTTATGATTGTACTGATGAAACTACTTTTAATTTGGTTTCCACTTTATGCTATTCCGTCCCCGCCTGCCCCCCTCCCCCCCTCTGTGTGTGTTTGTGTGTTTGTGTCTGTCTGTTTCTTTTTCTATGTGTGAATCTTACTGATTTATTCCGACAGTTTCAGAATATTCTTATAAGCCATCCTGCAACTGAAAGGCATGGAATCATTTTTTCAGTAACCGGGGAATCTGTTCTTGTGTTGTGCTGTTCTTATGTACCAGCAAAGATACAGTTAAAAGTAAATTAGAAAAAAATCATAGGCATTAAGTTTATCATGGTAGCTAAGTGATCTCCACTGTCACTTTTGGATACCATTCACTGGGGAATAAACACTAGAATTATTTTCTTAATGCCATGTTAGTGGTCTTTCTGGGGACATTTTGTTGGATCATACTCAGACAAAATTCAAACAGACAGAACCCTTTATTTGATTCAACAGTGATTAAAAATTGAATGTAGACTTATTTTATTTGTTAAAAATTATATTTGTTAAAAAGCCAGATCAATGTAGTTCACTGACTGAATTTTACCCACGTGCCACTGTGGGTCAGTGAGGCCGAATTTTAGAAAACCAAATCTGTTTAAAGAACTTTGTACTTATTTCCCATCAATTTTAATTTTGCAGTAGCTTACTTTAATGGTTGGGCTGAATATGACCTTACTATTTGGCTAACATCTTGTTTTCTATATTTTGCAGCAGGTGATCCCTATTCTTAGATTATTATTATTTTGCCCCTTGGCCATTATCCAGGAATGTTTGAATATGAGCTTCTCTCCAATGTAAATTAACAGTGTTGAAAAATATCCAGCCGCTTCCTTATTTTGAGGACAATCAGAACTAAGTCGGTGCCACGGAAAAGATTGTTTCCTCAAACATCTGTTTCAGGGATCAGTTATACACTGTTGAACTTTAACTGACACTATCATCTCGTTGTGGAAAATAAAAAAAAGGTTATGAATAATTTGGATACTAAGAATGACAACTACCGATTTCCATGTGTTTACAGAGCAGGTTGTAAAGTCATGAAGATTTCACAAACATCAGAAAACAGCAGTATCAGAGACCAGGAGAGAAAGAGAGAGAGAGAGAGAGTGAGAAAGAGAAAAAGAGAAGGAGGGAGGGAGGGAGGGGGAGGGAGAGAGGGAGGGAGGGAGGAAGAGAGAGAAGCAATGTCTCAGCTACTGATAAATGGCACAAAATTCAGTAACTAGCTAAAACAGTTTAATAGTGGGAGTAGATATAAGACAATACGGACTGATGTAAAGAAGTAGAGGAACACATAGCAAATGTTTTTTAGAAAAAGCAATATTGTACTCTGATGTTACACAAGGGAAAGTAGCTTGTATGTAAGATAAAAGATTAGGAGGCTGTTGCAGAAAGATTGTCTAGGAAGTTACATGACTAAAATCAGGACCTTACAAAGGTATCATTCAGAAGTTAAATCTCCTTCACCTAGGTAGCAATACTTATTTCACACAATGACTTACTTTTGCTGGGAATTATGGGAGGCATTTATCCTTAAGTATATTTACAACAACACATGTCCGGAAACAAAAAGAATGATAACTTAGCTCAATCAATGAGTAACATCTATGAAAACGGTGGTGGTAGCAACACGAAGGAATACACGAAGCTACAATGAAAGTGAAGGTAATTTAAAATAGGAAAATATACTGCCCATAACCCTTTATTGCAGATGATGCTTATTTTGGAAACAGCCCTTTTATTTTAAATGAATTTCAAATGCCACAAATCATTTAAAAGGCTGATTTCTATAAAATCACAAATGGATAAACGAGGCTCCCACTGCACTTTTCTTTTTCTTTCACACATTCAAGAAATATAACTGACAGTTTAAGGGAGCTTTAATCCGATCTGAATTAATCTGATAAATATCCCCCTTTTTAAAAAAAAGAAAAGAAGAATAAAAAACCCTGTAGAAATGACAATCAGCTACCGTCCAAACCAGCCCAAAACCACAACCAATAATAAAACAGCTCCCCCTCCCCTAAATTACAGCTTATTCTACCTGCAAAAAGGAAGCATGTCACCAAACTTCTCCTCCTTTGTTTTGACCCCCAGAAACCAGATACCACAGAGCAAACCTTCCACAGGAATTGAAAGCTTTACACTAAAGACACACAGCATTAACGTTGTTCGTTGCCAAAGCTATCTGCTCTCCAAGCATTTGAAGAGGCACATTCCAAAGCCTGTTTCCATTGCTCTGAGAAAGCTGTAAGTTTTCTTTTCCTGGGCAATTCCTTCCAGAAAAACAGGGATGAATTATACTTGAGAACACATGCAAGTCCATAGTTCTTGACCAACGCAGTCTCACATCTCATTTCTGCAAGTCTCTTGCTACCGATCTGGATAGAATGGATAGCATATCTGAGTAGGCTGGAGAATCAAAACTTGCAAAAATGAACAGATGCACAAAGGCACTGGAATGCCAGCTCTAAGGAAACATTAATACTAAGTATGTGTACTTTTCAAGGCAAGGTTCTATTTAATGACTTGGACTGTTTATATTTTGCTATGCTTAATTAAGCAAAGTAGCTGAACTCACCTACCCCAACCCATTTCAAAAACCTCACATTGTTTTCTCTCTGCTGCTAAGAAAGTTATGGTCACGATAAATTAGGAAGAAAAAAAACTACATGGCACTTCTGGCTTTAAAATATGTAAAGTTTGAAAGGGGTAAAAAGGGGTATTTTCTTCCAAAGTAAGCAACTGTTTCTTTTGGGCTGAAAGAAGCAATCAAATAACACAAACAATAACTGTCCTAAAAAAAGGAAGGGAGAGGGAAGGAAGGAAGGAGAATAAAGCATTCTGAGGAAGCAGTAAAACTGGATTGCAGTATGTGTGTGTGTATATGTGTGTGTATGTATACACACACACACACACACACACACACATATACATACATACACACATATATACATATATATATGAAGGTACTCTCTCTGGAAATTTAAAAGTATGCAAATGCAAACTATATAGTGGAACAAACACAGACAAGCTATACCTTTGTATTACACTGGCATTTTATTATTTAATTAAAATACTCTTATTTTTGTAGCTCACACATGTGTCCCTTGAGACAATTTTTCTGTTAGCCTGCTGGCCTTGACTTCCAGCCAAAAACAATTCAGAAACAAAAAGAGACAACAAATCATATTTTCACAGACATTTTTATCTCTCAATAGAACCCTGTTTTCACACAACATCCTACAGACTCTATGGAAATTATAATTTATTGTTATAGCCATCCAAAGGAAGTATGGTTTAAAAATCTCCACTTGTGCCTCCTACAAACTCTGACAATTTCTTAAGTTGAACTATTCCTTGTCCAGGAATTGTCATTGGGCAACAATAGTGTAATCTTTTCAATCAGATTGATAAACAATTCGCCAGGAGTACACCAGAATATTAACCTAGTAACCAACAGAAAACCAGAAAGTAAGAGAAAAACAATTTGTTTCAAACACTATTGAATGATCCTTGAAGATTCTGTGAAAAGAGATGATATATGTCAGAAAGATGGATAGTACGTAAACATGGGATCACATATTACTTCATGCCATCAACTAACTCTTACCTGATGGCAACCTTGAAGATTTGAGTCTCGTCCATATGATGAATAAGAGCTTCTATCTGTTTTACCTGTTTCAGAAGGGGAGAGAGAGAGAGAAGTATTATCTGATAACACAGTTAAAGAATACATCCTGTAATTAATTAATCTGTATAGAAGAGTGATATTTATTGCATTGTAGTGAATGTTCTTAATCTATTTTATAAAAAGCCTCTCGTCTTTAAAGCCACTTTTTATAGTAATCACATCACTACCATCTTTGGTCTTGGTAAATAAATTTTGAATCCATATCACCACAGAAGAATGGCACATGTTCCTCATCTCAATAGCACAATTTTCTAACCACAGAAGTCAATCGGATTTCCTCAGATGATGAGCTTCCACCCTGTTTTCAAAATCAGGAACTTTACGCCTCCAAATACTAAGGATGGTATCTACCGTGTTTTCCCGAAAATAAGACCCTGTTTTATATTTTTTTGAACCCCGAAATAAGCACTTGGCCTTATTTTCAAGGAGGCCTTATTATTTTGGGGCGCGTGGAGCAAGACGGGGCTCCTCTTGCCGTCTTACCTGATTTCCAGCTCTGTCTCCCTAACCCTAACCAGAGGAAATGGCGGGGACCGACTGCGCATGTGGTTAAATATTTTTGGGGAGGGCTTATTTTCGGGGGAGGGCTTATTTTCAGGGAAACACGGTAGGAGAGAAGTTCATGGCTGCTTATACCTCAAAACAAAAATAAGGGGCAACCCATGAGAGACCTCCATTTATTTTGCTCAACCTGGCCTTCTAGCCCTTTTGTGAACCCCAATGGCACACTGTTCTTGACCGTTATTCTTCCATAGGCCTGTGCCATAGAACTCCTAATGGCCTCCGCTTTAAAATACCTTCACTGCTTGCTATGATTACATTTCTAATTGGAAACGCCATTCAAACCTCCAGAATAATATATGTGAGACAATCATTCTTAAAGGAGGAAACAAAATCTCTCTTTTCCTTTTCTTTCTTACCCCTAAAAACTGCCTAAATTTATTTTTATGAGCACAGCAGGAAGGTTATCCATGTCGTGACCTGACCATAATAATTCTCACTGATTACACTGCAGTCACCAGTGGGGTCAGAGGTAATAAATCAAAAACTCCAGATGGTAAAGTTAGCGAAGAAACCCCCTCACAAGTCTGATTTCCTAGTTGAATTCCCTGTTGAATGACTTGATCTCTGCAGTTATTCTCCAGAAAAGAGTATTTTATATTAAAATATATCACTCCCTAACAATGCTTCAACTTTCTCAGTTGTAGGAGACACAAATAGATTGTGATATTTCATGCCAATTCTAGTATTTTCTTTGATTTTCCTGCATGCTCTAACATTTTATTTAAAATGTCAACAGCACATGATATAGTTGGATACGGACATTGAGAATCTGATGAAAAGAACAGAGGAATGGATTTCATATATTATGACGGTTGTTAGTAACCCAAAGAAGGAATTTGTTGAAAATGTGAATAGCTAGAAGCCCTGTTCCATAAGGTCAGCAAAGACCTATGATAGGTCCTGACATGAAAATGAATAATATTCTGGCATGAAATTTAATAAAATAATTCCAAGTGTGGTTAGAAAATGAAAGATTAATCTTTAATAATTTACAACTATTAGGTGCACCTAAGATGAGCAGAGATAAGATTCAACAGCTTAACATAGAAAGAAATAATTGTTATTGGATATCCCAAACAATGTATACCCTCTCCATAACTTTTGGTGGACAACAAAAATGACCCTTGGGTGCCCAGATCTAATATAATGCAAAGTTCTGGTTGTTTCTGCAATCAAGCATATAATAAATTGCAATAACTAGCTACATATAGTACAGTACATTACCCCTGTAAATGAATCATTTAATTACTATCACATACTTTGCAAAACCACCTTTACATTAAAGGATGTTATTTTATTACAGAATATTATACTCAGTCTGGTTATTATTGAAATACAAGGTGTAAGAAAAAAAGATTCACATTTTAATTTAATATAGAACAATCATTCAATAAACTAAACTGTTGTTTCCTAAAGTGTCGAATTAATTTTTTGGAAAAAAAATTGATTAAATGCACATAAGGTTTTATTTAAGGTTTTGCCCAATAAAGTCGGGATTCAATTAAAATAATGACTATGAGAGGAATACATTCTATAAGGATGTATATACATTCTATAATAATGAATACACATTATTGTGTAATTTGCACATGATTTCAAATTGGCATCTATAGATCTACAATATTATATGGAATTCTACTTTCTTTCAGTTTTACTTTGTTAAAAAGATGGAATGTATACTGGGAGTAAATCTCCTACATACATTCCCCTGAAAATGTACGTCAATAACATTAATATAAAATTATAACTCTACTTTTATTTGACTTGTCATTTTGAATTTAGCTTTCAGACAGGGGGGAAAAAAAACCAGTAAATCCACATGCTTTTAAAATTGTCTTCTCATAATAAAACACGAAACAAAATACTACAAGTTGAATTTATCATGCCCAAGAATATAAAACGTGACACATTTTTTGTGATTTCATAAAAAGGATCTTTTCCTAACCATGATGAAAACTACAGATAGGAAAATAGAAATACTGAATTCACTTGAGATTTTGTGCACTATGAGTTAATGTAGGGGGGGGGGGGGAAGATGTCTATGAACAATTTGATGAGACAGGAAACAAGGGAAAAATGTCCTAAACAGGAAAGGAACAGTACAGGTTTTACTTCAACTCACACCTACAAGGTGAGTTTCCTCAAACTCAACCAGGCAAAAATACATTTTAATGAGGAGATGGGTGAATAAAGCTAATGAATCCAACCTACTGAATAAAGAACCGGGCAAATGAATTTCATTTACTATGTGAGTACCTGTCCTCCTCCTCCTCCTCCTCCTCCTCCTTCTTACTATCGTATCAGATACAAACTGTCTCATTTTAATTTCGGTGGTTAAAAAATATTTATCTAGATGCAAAAATAAAACGCACTGCAAATTACAAGTTGTCAGGGTTAAAAATCTACTTCTATTTGTGTGGGGGAGGATGAGAGCACAGCACAGACATGAATCATTCTCAGTAATTTGAGTGTTTCCATGACATCAATGGGCACTCGTCCAGGACTCTGTCGAAGCTTGTGAGGTACCAAAGAGACACAGAAACCAGCAGGAGATTGACTTCTTCTTTTTTTTAAGGATTATGCTCCTTGTAAAGATTTCATCTGTAGCATCCATTTTTACCACCAGACAGATAGCTTTGGAGATCAGGAATGAGCATATTTCATCCTGAGCGTGTAAGCTTTTAACTTTTATTACGTCTTTATTTTTGTACCCCAATCCAACCAGGAACGTGTCTTTCCTCCCAGTTAAGAACAGAATAATCAAATTTACATGAAACTCTTTAGGGACGTGGATGGATGTGTGGATGGATGTGTGTGTGTGTACAGCGTTCGTATAGATGCACTATTCAATTGTCATTGTGAAATAAACTCACTTTTTTTGGGGTAGATGTCATTTAATTCATGAGGGGGGAAAAATCTCTGGAGGGGAAATATTCATTTAAAAATCAGCTACTTTCTTTATGTTGATTTTCTGCGTAAAATTCACTAGCATATTTGTTTCAGATAATAAAATTTGAAAGAGGGCTACTAATATTCTGGCGGGGGCTCCCTGAGTAACTATCTGTGTGTATAAATTTTAACACACAAAAAAAACCCGAGCTCGCCTGGAATTTTTATACTTACTTTGCAATGTCCATCGTTCTCAGGTATTACAGGAATACAGCCATTCTGAATATGTGCATTTGTGGACTGGGATGCTATAAATTGTGACTTCTTAAAGGGATTGTGTGTGAGGGCTCGGTTTTTAAAGAATCGACAACAATGTAGAAACTCGACACATTCACTGCGGAATTTTCGAGACAACCTTCCAGTACCAGAATGCGGCAGCCGCTGCGGATATTTTTTGGCACAAAGACAACAGTTCCAGTGCCAAGCCCCATGGCTACGACTACTCGAAAGAGGCATAAGGGTAGCATTAATCGCTCAAGTCTTTTACTGCGTGGTGTATTGCTGTCCATAGTTTTTTTTTTTTTTAAAAAACCCAAACCTTAAATGTACCGGTTAATAATTTGCATACAAACCAAGAAAAGGGTACTGTTCTATAATCTGGTTAGATTTCCCATCACAAGGACCAATATTGCACCGACTGCTAAATACAAAAAAACAAAACAACTATGTTGTGATAATCGAAATAAAACTTACAAGAGAAGATGACCGAAACAATGACTTACTATTATACAAGTGGGAACCCTGAGAGTGATTCAAAGGAAATGCATTATTAATTATACTAATACCTTTTTAAATAAATAAACAGACAGAATACACATCAGCCAAAATACATACAAAGAAAAACAGAATGAACTGCCAAAGCTTTTCTCTAAGGCATAATACACATACAGACACTCAATAAACACCCAAGAAATAAAAGAAAGAATCCCCTCTAAACTCAGTTGCTTACTATGCAGTTCCCAGCATCTGAGATTAACTGTAATCAAAACGAGGAAAAGAAAAAAAAAAGAAAGAAAAAAAAACCAACACAAAAACATTGCAGGATTTCCAGTCGGTCCATAAAGAAGCCGGTTGCTTCTCAACAACGTCCTCTGAAAAATTATTTGAATTAAGCCAAAAATTCAAGTTATCCAACTCTCATATAACTTTGTTTTCCTTTTGTTCTGAAAGAAAAGTCAGGTCGTCTTTGCTCTACCAATAGATATCTCTCGCTTCTACATTTGTGATACTCTTATATTTTAACTTTTGTGACAGTTGGATTCAAGAGGCATAGTGACATATCTTCAAATATAGTTTGACTTCAGATGGTTGAGGAACATTTATATTCACATTCCTAGTTTCACAGTTGTGGGACTGCTTCTGTCTGGCCTAAATTTGCTTATTTCATTGCTGGGGATTATTCATTCCGTAATTTTAAATTGCTAGGCATTGTAAAAAAAAAAGAAAAGACAATCCATGGGGAAGAGATAGA